ATACTTGCTTATAGCAAAGTAATTCGTTGCTATAAGCAAATTGTGTAAAAAAAAAAAATACTGATCACGTACCCAATATAGTACAGTGTTACTATGGTAACATTATACTACTTTGGTCATAGTGCAATATGAAAAAAAAATCTTAAAAAAAGAGAAAAAACTTAATAAAAAAATAAAAATTTAAAAAATGTAAATAAAATTATCTTTTTTTTTTCATACTGTCACCTGTCAGTGTCCTTGATCACCGCCATGCCAGTTATATGATGGCGCTGTACTGCACTGGTGACAGTATGTAAAAAAAAAAATAGTGAAAATAATTTTTTTAATTTCTTTACTTTCCGAAAAATTATGACAAAAAAAATACAACTTCAAAAAACTCGCCATGCCTCTTATGAAATACGTCGGTCTGTCTACTTTGCAAAAAGGGGTCATTTGGGGGATATCTGTACTGTTGTGACATTCTTGGACCTCAAGAAATTAGATTGGCTGTCAGTACTTCAGGACTGATCAATATTCAGATATGTACCATAGTTTGTGAACTCTATAACTTTCCTACAAGCTAAAAAATACATCCTAATTTGGGTTATTTTCACCAAAGAAATGTAGTAGAATACATCTTGGCCTAAATTTATGAAGAACAATTATTTATTTGCAAGTTTTTATAACAGAAACAAAGAAAATGTGTTTTTTTTTTTTTTAATTTAGCAACAAATAAAAACCCCGGTGGTGATTAAATACCACCAAAAGAAAGCTCTAGTTGTGTGAAGAAAATGATAACATTTTAATTTGGGTACAATGTTGTATGACCGCGCAATTGTCATTTAAAGTGTGAGAGCACTGAAAGCTGAAAAATGGCCTGGGCAGGAAGGGGGTAAAAATGCCCTGTATGGAAGCATACATGTGTGCCAAATAGACTTTTCTTACTGGTGCCACTTTTGAGTACCTGTTGCTATAGAAGCAGTAGATTTACACTGAACAGGCAGTTTTTTAAAACAAAAATATACTATATAATTTCAGCATGTCTAATGAAAACGGCTTACCCTAGGTTCACACTTAAGCGTTTTTTGCAGCATTTTGCAAAATCACAATACAGTCCATTAACCTCCCTGGCGGTATTCCCGAGTGTAGCTCGGGGTAAAGTTTCAGTACCACAAGCGGTAACCCTGAGCTACACTCGGGCTTACCATGCGGTGCTGCTCCAGGATCTATTCTTCTCTTACCTTGTCCTGCTCTCCCGTGATGTCCCTCCTGCAGTGTCCCCTGTAATGTCCTCTGGCGGATGCTGGCATCTGTCTTCTGGGTTCCGTCCCCTGCGACGTCGGGATGTACGGGGGCCGGACCCGGTGGGAAATTTGAAAGTGACAAAAAGTGACATTCACTAAAATCACTAAAATCACATAGTAAAACATTACTGTATCAAAACCATTTCACTTATATTTTGTCCCTAGTGCTTTGTCCTGTGCCCTGCCTGCATTTTTACCGTTCTTTCTGCCTGGAAACTGAGAAATGTCCATGGCATCCAAAAAGCGTCCCTTTATGTCAAAGGGGTTTTAGACCAGCTAGAGAACAGCGATAGTAAATTAGAACCACTTGCAGAATTGAGTGATAATGATTCGTGGGGAAATTCATCATCAGACACTGAAAACGATTTTGCGACTTTGCTCAGTGATGTGCGTACTTGGCGCTCTATTTCAAATTTCAGTGTTTTTGGTTTGATTATATTATTGAATTAAATTTATTATTATTATATTATTATTTTTTATGATTATTTAATAAATTATAATTTATGATTCCGTGTTTCAGATTTTAACATACCCGGAATGCTTACTAGACTCTTGTTCGGACAGATTTCAGTGAGTTATTCCTAAAAATTACAGGCCTACAATAAAAAAAATACATATTTCCATGCTTTGAGCACAGAAATATGGACATAATCATACTGCTAGGGAGGTTAAACATGGTTTCCTATGAAACATGTTCACACCTGTGCATTTTTTGGAAAGGGTCGGGAGCTTTTTTGAAATTCAAAAAGTTGTGTTTTTGTTTCTATAAGCTTCAATTGAATGCTGCAGAAAAGCATGTATTGTGGTTTTCCTGGGTTTTTGCTGGGGTTTTTTTATGCGTTTTTAATGTGTTTTGCTTTTCTGCGTTTTAAATTTGCCTAGCAACAAGAAAAATTTTAAAAAATGAAAAAAAAAAAAAAAAAAAGCAGCAAAAAATGTTTCAAAAACTCAAGTGCAAAAAAAAAAAAAAAAACGCAATGCAGAAACAGCTCAAACGCAACCTGCATAGGTGTGAACCAAGCATTAAGATCATTGCCCAGAAGCAGACCAGTCAAAGTTGTGAGTGGCTGGCATGGAACTCTGGGACACTGCTGCACTGAAATGAGTATAATTCCACTTTAAAGATTTACCACCAGTTCCAAGATTGGAAAACTGGCAGCAAACAAGACCAGCTCTGAGCTGGTACAGAGAAACACCAATGCTCAGAGTGGGTCAGGTCCGTGCTAGGAAGCTGTCATAAATTTGATGCTTGACAGAGGAGTCTTGTGCGGCTCCAAAACATTGCACTTTTCACTGACGTGATCAATTTAATAAACAGTTGGACATTATTTTCAAGATCCATGGTGTGCTGGCAATATACGGTATATTTGGACTTAAATGCTTTCTGTGTGCTGTTTTAAAAGCAGAAAAAAGCAGAACTCCACACGAAAGTGAACAAGGGCGTACACTTGTAAGTCAAATTCAATTCACTAAAATCTGCTATGGAGTGCAGCTGTGCAAAATATGGCTGCAATGAATGGTATGTAACCATTGGCAGTATTTTGGCCAGACTTCATGGGTGATAGAAAGGGCCTACAGGTGTGGCATTTATTTAAGGGCTCGTTCACACCATATGTACATGAAAACTGATGGGAAAACCGTGCACATTTCATTGCAGAGACACAAGTTTACATCAGTTTTCGAGCGTCTCAGTGAGCTTTATACACGGTGATATTGCATGTGATACTAGTGTTGTGGTGTGAACAGGGAACAATTTGTTTGTGCCCTTGCAGAAAAACTGACATCTCTGCACTATGGTGTGAGCGAGGTCTAAAGCGGAACTAAACCATTTGATTTACCAGTATAAAAAAAACAGTAACAATCCGGGTATGCTGGGAATGCTAGCTGTCTTGTTTGCTTGTGTTCCCAACCAAACTGTCAAGTCATCAAATTTCTGGTGTCATAACTGATCACATGTGCAGCATCATGACAGTTGCACATCAAACAGAGGCTAAGATGGCAGCTTCCTTGGCTGAAAAGGAGTAGAGGGTTTAGTTCCACTCTAACTCCCTGGCACTGGCGGTACACAAATATGTGGCCTCTCGGTGGCTGGGTCTTGACGCACAGTTGCCCCATATTTGCTTAGCCGTTATACACAAACTTGTGCTGAGAATGCGCGCCCTGTGCACTCCCAGCACAGTTACTGGCACCTCATGGAAAGCTCCCAATCACTATTTGCAATTGGGACTTTCCAATCATGTGAGCACTGTGATAGCCAATCACGGCAGTCACATGACCCTAAACCCAACCCTGCCTCCCGGAATCAGAAACCCCTAAGAGGGCCGGTAGGCACCAGCACCAAGGAGTTTTTTTTACAAATTGCATCATGTATTTTAACCACTTCCCATCCAGCCCATGCCAATAAATGGCCAAGCGGGAGCATTGCTGATGCGCACTCCATGGGAGTGCTGTGATCTGTGTCCGCTGTGTCCACCAAACACAGCGGAACACAGATTGATGTGCAGGACTGCTGTGTGAGGTCCCGATTCAGTGATTGGCCAGTCAGTGATCACATGAACAGTGGTAAACAAGATGCCAACCATGGCACCACCTGCCTGTAGTTTGCATGTTCTCCCTGTGCCTGCTTGGGTTTCCTCCGGGTACTCCGGTTTCCTCCCACACTCCAAAGACATGCTGGTAAGTTAATTGGCTCCTGTCCAGAGGCAGACTGACAACTCATGGGGCCCCCGGGCAATTAGGGATCATGGGGCCCCTGTGTCCTTGCCCATGCTCAAAACACATGCAAAAAAGCCTATAAAAGGTACCAGGGGCATTTTATGGGGCCCCCTACTGACCCCGGGCCCTCGGGCAGCGCCCGAGTGCTCGAATGGTCAGTCTGCCCCTGCTCCTGTCTAAATTGGCCCTGGTATGTGTATGTATGAATGTGATTTAGGGACCTTAGATTGTACGCCCCTTGAGGGTTAGGGACTGATGTGAATGTACAATATATATGTAAAGCGCTGCGCTATACAAATACCTGAAATAAATAAATGTCATTTCCTGACATCATTGTTTACTACTTGTGAATTCTGTAAATGATCGCAGAGGTCACATGGTACAAGGCTATTCACAACAGCCTTGTACCATGTGACAAGCTGTGACCAATGACAGTTTTCACAGTATTTCTCAATGGCTGAGAAGGAGAAATGATTGCTTTTACAGCCTTTATGGATGTAAAAGCAATCAGTGTAAAAAAAAAAAAAAAATCTTCATCACCTTCAACAAATAGTACAGTGTCACTATGGTGACACTGCTAGGGAGACAGTATGTTAAAAAAAACAAATAATAATATAAAAATTAAAAAAAATTCTAATTTTTTTTTTTTTAAAAACTGATTTGGGTTATATTTTTTTTTTCACCAGAAAGGTAGCTGAATACATTTTGGCCAAGATTTATGAAGAAAGATTATTTATTTGCAAACTGTTATAAGAAAAACACTTTTTTTTCAAACAAGTTGGTCTTTTTTTATTTATACAGCAAAAAAATACAAATCCCAGTGGTGAATAAATACCACCAAAAAAAGTTTTATTTGTCAAAAAAAATGCTACAAATTTAATTTGGGTACAGTGTTGCATGACTGTGCAATTGTCATTCAAAGTGTGACAGCGCTGAATGCTGAAAATTGGTCTGAACTGGAAGGGGATGAAAGAGTCCGTACCAGGGGCGGACTGACAACTCATGGGGCCCCCGGGCAATAGAGGATCATGGGGCTCCTGTGTCCTTGTCCAAACTCAAAAAAAGCCTATGAAAAAGGTACCAGAGGCATCTCATGGGGCCCCCTTCTGACCCCGGGCCCTCAGGTAGTGCCCGAGTTTCCAAATGGTCAGTCCGCCTTTGGTCTGGACTTGACGTGGTTAAACTACTGTGGCCCCATGTCTGCATAGGCCAGTAAAAGGTGAACTTAGCCTTTAATGCCCAGTTATCATTTAGAAGATGTATAAAAATCAAGTCAGGGTGGCTAAAAATGTAAGTGATAGTTGTCTTACAGTTCTTTCTTTTTGTACCCCCCTCTCCCTCCAGCCCCAAGCAAAAAAGTCCTATGCATGGCAGATGCCATGGATAAAGATGGCTGTGCACTGTGTGCGAGAATCTACAGTGGTCTGACATGCCCCCTGCTGAGTCAATCCTTCAGCTCTGCAATCACACTCCCTGCTATCTGCAGCACTATAGGTCTCACTCTGCAGGGGGTACGTCATACCATGGTTTTTATCTGCCTGAAGTTTACCATTTAACATTTCAGAAACCTGAACAATGCATATTATTTGATGAAAAATTATGTACAGGTTAGCTTCCATGAAAACTCTTCATTTCAAGAGTAGACTCAGAGATATAGGGTGCTGAATTTATGTGTAAGCTCTGTTTTTCCATAGTGTAAGGTAAAGCAATGGGAATCACCAGCACACACCTTCGTACTTTTTTAAAGCGGAGTTCCACCTAAAAAAAATAAATAAATAACAGTCAGCAGCTACAAAAAACTGTCCCTCGGTCCTGCAGTGTCCTCACCACCGCTGATTTCATCGGTCGTCTTCTCTCCCTGGCGCCAGCATCTTTAGTGTGGGCACCCGGCTGTGACAGCTTGCGGCTTCACAGCCGGGTGCCCACTGCGCATGCGCGAGAAGCGCTGTGCTTTGTGAATGGCCACGTAGTCTTCTGGAACCTGTCACGTGTCCCAGAAGGCTACAGGGAGAGAAGGGGGGGGAGGACAACTTCCACTTCCGATCACCTATGCGATCTCAGTGGAAGTCGGAGCGGGTACCTGTCAAATTCTGGTAGCTGCTCCCCAAAGGTGCCAATCCTTAATGGGGAGCAGGGGACAAAGGCTTATAGCGGAACTTCCCCTTTTGGGTGGAGCTCCACCTTAAGGAGTTGCATATTATATCACTTTTTATCTTTCAAGTAGAGGAGCTGTTATGAAGGCCAAATTCTGATAAACCCTTTAAAGTCATATTGCATAGTATTTAATGGTCTTATGTTGTTTGGAAGAGTAGATCTTTTGAATTATTGTTTGGAATTTCTTAAAGAGAATCCATTTTGCTTTCAATTTATTAAAAACACCTACAACATCTACCGCCATTGACTTTTTTGGGCATAATGGTTTCCACTGTTACTTATTATAGTAGATGCAGCAGCAGCTCATCATTGTGAGCCACTATTTGTAATCCCAAGCAATAATTAGACTGTACACTGGTGTTAGTGTGCCAGATTATTATTATTATTATTATACAGGATGTATATAGCGACAATAGTTTGCTCAGCGCTTTACATTACAATGGGAGACAACACACGAGACAGTACAGTAACAATACGATTCAATACACGAGGGGTTCGAGGGCCCTGCCCCTTGGAGCTTACTATCTAGGAGGGAGGGTATAGTGGTACAGGAGGAAATAACTGTGGGGGATGGAGTGGTAGGAAGAGTGGAGAAGTTCAGTAATTAGCTGAGGGCAGGGTAGGCTTCCCTGAAGAGATGGGTTTTCAGGGTGCGCCTAAAGGTGAGGAGAGTAGGTGATAGTCTGATGGTTTGGGGTAGGGAGTTCCAGAGGTTGGGGGAAGCCCTGGAGAAGTCCTGGAGGCGGGCATGGGAGGAGGAGACCAGGGAACTAGAGAGTAGGAGGTCTTGTGAGGACCGGAGAGTACGTTTTGAGTGGTATTTGGATATCAGATTGATGATGTAGTTTGGGGCAGTATTATGGTCAGCTTTATACGTCAATGTTAGCATTTTATCCGTTGGGCAATCGGAAGCCAGTGGAGGGATTGGCAGAGGGCGGTGACGGAAACAGAGCAGAAACAGATGAAACAGCTCTAGCAATGAGCTTCTTGAGTAAAAGCATCCCAAAGAGAGCTGCATAATCCCGATGACACTTAACCCCTTTGCGCAGATTCCCTGTAGGACGTTTCATACTCTGGGAGCTGAAGGCGGGCATTTTGGTCATGTGACCATTGTGATTGGTTGTCACAGCGGTCAGATGATGGGAAAGCTCCCGATCGCTACTATCCGTTACCAGCTGGTAACTGTGCCAGGGGGCACAGCATTTTTTACATTTTTAACGCCTCTTGGCATTAAGGCTCATCTGCTGAGAGGCCGCATATATGCCTATGGCTGACGTGAAGAGGTTAAACCAGATATAACTTCAGGGAGTAGTTACAGGCTGGGGAGGGACAAGACTTGCAAGTGTTACTGAATTGCAGCAGAGCATATGGTTACTATAACAAACTGCTATGGTCACACCCTTACTGTAAGACACAGCGCTTTACTGTGCAGGCTGGTGGTGTGAGAAGCATTGCATTGCACATTTTTGAGCATTGCACTGCTTGCCTTTCTTTTTTTTCAACTTTATCTGAAGTGTCATATAGCGACACTTTATTCATGTTCAATGTTTTGTGCCATCCAGTGCAGTGCAGACAATGGCAGACATCCGGCATTGTTTCATACTGCACCACACCTGTATTGTGGAGGGGATGGGGCACAAAGAAAACCATTCTTTCTCTGTGACCTGCATTTATCCACTGTGGAAAAATACAGGTCACTCCACTTAAACTGGCCATACATTATGCAAATTTCTTGTTCAATTTCCTTTAGATTTACCTTCAACTGTGTAGTGCAAAGGCGTGGCTGATTGCTTACAAATTGAAAGTGTTTAGGTTTGACCCTTATATTATATGGTTTTGGTAAATCTAAACCAAAATTGTACAGTAAAATTGTATAATGTATGGCCAGCCATAGTGTAAACAGGAAAAGCAGAAACTACTCTGACTCTGGCTTCTGCTCGTGAAATATATATATACATATATATATATATATATATATATATATATATGTATATATATATATATATATTCAACGGCAACTTTATTAGGTGCACATTTCAATTGCTTGGTAACACAAATTGCTAATTAGCCAATCACATGGCAGCAACTCAGTCATTTAGGCATCTAGGTGTGGTGCAGGCTACTTGTTGAAATTCAAACTGAACATCAGAATGGGGAAGAAAGGGGAATTCAAGTGACTTTGAACGTGGCGTGGTTGTTGGTGCCAGATGGGCTTGTCTGAGTATTTCAAAAAGTGCTGATCTACTGGGATTTTCACACACAACCATCTCTAGGGTTTACAGAGAGGTCCAAAAAGAAAAAATATTCAGTGAGTGGCAGTTGTGTGGATGAAAATGCCTTGTTTGATGTCCAAGGTCAGAGGAGAATGGGCAGACTGGTTTGAGATGATAGAAAGGCAACAGTAACTCATGTCAATATGGACCGAAATCTCTGAGGAATATTTCCAACACCTTGTTGAATCTATGCCATGAAGAATTAAGGCAGTTCTGAAGGCAAAAGGGGATCCAACCCATACTAGCAAGGTGTACATATTAAAGTGGACACAGACTGTAAATCTAGATATAGATATAGAGTATACATATGTATACAAATAGTATGTGTATCAGACAAATCCCCTGGATGATGCATATACACATTCTCACTTCTACATATATTTTTTTCAGTAAAACATGCTTTGTAGCAGGCCAAGGCTTTCAATCTGGCAAATGAATTTGACAGAAGGGTTGGTGTGTGTCTGGGTATCTGTGGGCTGATTTAAGCTCCTACACATTCCTGTTTATATCCTACAATTTTACAACAGTTAATACCACTCGTGTGTCAGGGAGAAAACAGATGTATCTCATTGTGTATTCATTTGTATTATTCAATGCCCAGTATAATACAAAGTGTCTATAAAGTCTGGACACATAGGCAAAATGCATATCTTCTGTAAGTTCCAATAATTTTTTTAAATTTTTCAACAACATTTTATTTCATTGGAATATTAATCAATTACATCTTCAATGTGATTTCCACCATTTGTGATGCAAAGTTCCATGCACTTTGCAAGATTCACATGAACCTGATGCAGTAACTCCACATTTCTATCACTTTGAGCACATTTGTTTATGATGTGTTCCTCCAGATGACTCATATCTGTGCTTTTCATTGAGTACACGTTCTCCTTTAGCACAATCCAAAAAAAATAAGTAAAGAGTTAACGTTGGGCAAGCTTGCATAGTGATATTTTGAATATATATATATATATATATATATATATATCACACACTATATTGACAAAATTATTGTCATTCCTGCCTTTAAACACACATGAACTTTATTGGCGTCCCAGTCTTAGTCCGTAGGGTTCAATATTGAGTTGGCCCATCCTTTGCAGCTATAACTTCAACTCTTCTGGGAAGGTTGTCCACAAGGTTTAGGAGTGTGTCTATGGGAATGTTTGACCATTCTTCCAGAAGTGCATTTGTGAGGTCAGGCACTGATGTTGGATGAGAAGGCCTGGCTCGCAGTCTCTGCTCTAATTCATCCCAAAGGTGTTCTATCGGGTTGAGGTCAGGACTCTGTACAGGCCAGTCAAGTTCCTCCACCCCATACTCACTCATCCATGTCTTCATGGACCTTGCTTTGTACACTGGTGCACAGTCATATTGGAACAGGAAAGAGCCATCCCCAAACTGTTCCCACAAAGTTGGAAGCGTGAAAATGTCCAAAATGTCTTGGTATGCTGACGCCTTAAGAGTTCCCTTCACTGGAACTAAGGGGCCAAACCCAACCCCTGAGAAACAACTCCACATCATAATCCCCCCTCCACCAAACTATACACTTGGCACAATGCAGTCAGTACTCTTCTCCCGGCAACCACAAAGCCCAGACACATCCATCAGATTGCCAGACAGAGAAGCATGATTCATCACTCCAGAGAACACGTCTCCACTGCTCTAGAGTCCAGTGGCAGCCTGCTTTACACCAT